CAAGATGCGAAATAACACGATAAATTAGTTCGAAAGTTGGCGATTTTCAACCCCGCAAGCCACCCTCTGATTTGGAGTTCCTGTTAGAGGCAGCGTTTTTTAGCATTTCACATTTAACACTGTTCAACTGTTTTCAGGATGATTACTAAAACGAACTAGTATGTATATGAAGTCGCTGATAAATCTTTCGGCAGATTGCTTTTCGGTCATATCGGCGAGGGCAGGGAATTGTTAGCAGAGTCCTCGTTCATACTGCCAACAAGATCGGCAAGGCTGTACTCCGCGCTTTTGAGAGGTCCTCCCCTGTCGCGCAAAGTATCCACTAATGCGGAGAAGTTTGATTTGTGGGACTCGGAGGGGGTGGTGTTTGTGGGATTCGGGGGGGGGGGGAGGAGAGCAGTTGGTTATGTGATGAAAATCGTTGTGACGAGACGTTGCGATTTCAAGGAAATGCAATTTACAAAAGCCACGTCCACAGTGAACAAAACCAATAAACAAACAAAAACCTAAGCGTTTTGGATTTTGAGACGACAGATCCCTCAAATCAATAGAAAGGACGAGTGTTTAGCCATTACCCGTGAACTAGCGCCCTTTTCCGACCTCTGCGGGTTTTGATCTACATGAGGTCAGGTCGAGGTTGAGGTCGAGAGGGTGGAGGTGTCGGTTTTCAGTAAGCACAAGCTATGTCCTTTTCAGTAAGCGCAAGATATGAGAGTGGTCGCCCTCGCGTCACGGTGGCGATGATCAAGGTAGGCTGCTTGCACATCCTTTCCAGCTCGATTAAGCCGTTGGGTGTTTACTGATGATGATGGAGAAATCGTCAGTAGTCGTGGAGACGTTTTTGAAGTAGACAAAGTCCATGTTTGTTTTGACCTTTTCAAGCTCTGAGGCAAGCAAAGATGCGAAACTGTGGGCCACGAGTAGTACTCATCTGTTCAAACTATGCCAAGATTATGAGAAGGTCGATCCTGGACGAAAAATAGAACATTTGTGGGAGTGAGAGGGTGTCGACTATCTTCAGAATCGATTAGCAGAAAAAGTCATTGTGATGAGGGTGGTGGTGGCTTTGTTGGAGGGCGGGGAGCGTATGGCCTACCCAACCCAACCCTGATGGTGGGCATGGGGTTTTGTCTAGTGGCTCGCTATGACTCACCCAGGGTTGGACCCTGGTTGTTCTATTGCCTTCTCCTTTGCCACGTGGTTTCACCCTGCCAATTGACAATGGGGTCGGTCCTGACTAAGAACATTTGGTTTACCCTATTGAGGACCGCCGTAATTTGAGCACCTTCGTGGGTTTTTGCCGTCTGCTTTACCAGTGCTCAACAGTCTACCTATAGTTTTATCAGCACATAAATTGATAACATTTTTGTGCACGGAAAGAGTCAATGTTGACTTTGTAACTTAGAATGTGCTACAGAAATCAATATTTATTTCGCTTTCTTCTCTGCGGCGGCGTGCAGAACGCAATGGGTTAATTTGCTGTTTATCTCAGAGTAAACAGCACAACAGTGCTGACACACATGAGGTTGACGGATTCTTCTAAAATGCTCCACACTGCCGCAAATTCTCCTATCAGGAACTGTATGGATATTTGAACGGGTAAAATTAGCCCACAGAAGGCTCTTTATGAGAGCAACAGATGCGCACAGTTTTTATCTACCCTCCACGATAAAAAGATAATCATGTCACAGACCCCGAACAGTTGAAGTGATGGGAAGCAACCTTTCAACCCTGCTGGTACGAATTGGGCAAAATATTGTTTCTGGTATCGATTCCTATGAACTGGCTGTTGATGATCCTCCATCACGGTTATTACTATTTTCGTTTTTTTGTGGATATAAATTAGCGCTGATTTTTGCGGCCGAATTGTGATCAACAGGGTGAAAGTTAGACGGAGGAACGAGAAACTGCAAAGCAGAGACCAAATGGCAATGGGAGGGGTTCTGCAATCACGGCTCGCTTTGTAGTTTAAAAAAGCGGTATCTCCTTATCGCATCAACGCTAGATAATGTCTTGCAGTTCAATAACACAACGCCTCCTCTCCTGGATTACGCTGTGTTTTGTATTGCATCATTTTTTCTCTTTTCGCTATCGCAATATAAGGGGGCATCTTCCAGCACAAAGCCTAGGGAAGGCAGAAACGCCGGGGAAAATGAAAGTGGCCAGAAGCACCCGTCGAATTCCTGCTCTACCTCCAATAAGGCTGATCCGCCGTCTTTTTTTTCTTGTTTTAGCGAAGAAAGGACTCCGTCGTTGCCGCCGCTATATTCCAAAATTTTCCTTTTTTCCTTCTCATGTTTTTTTTTGTAGCAGACATGGTTCCACACATAGAGAGCGTGTAATAAACTTAATGGCGTTAGGGTCAAGAATAACTCTAACATTGAAGGATTCAGTGGGGAGAAGTTTTCTCCCGAATTCACCCCACTGGTTTGGAAGTTTGGTGAGATCATTCTCTAAAAGCGACCCTACTGGTTTGGAAAAGTTGCTGAGATGATTCTCTAAAAGCGACCCTATTACCTGCGTTCTAACGGGATGTTTGAAGCTGCTGGCACTTGATCCCTCTGGAAGTGTCGCTATTGATGGTTGATGGCAACGTAGCGAGATATCAGGGCCCAGTTACAAACGGGTTTTGAGACTGACTACCTTGCATTTTGAGGACGAGACGTTTCAAACTCGTAAAGGCAGAGGACACAATGGTTGAGGGCCAGCGATTTTGCTGACGCCATTGGGCGCGATTGGCCCAAGGGCCTTAGGAGGTGGTTCCCAGCGCGTTGATTGTCCTGGTCCAGCAAGGGCGTCCATTGACGTCATCGAAACCGCTCCACCCTTCCAGCCATCGCGATTGCTTCCCTTTTATTATTTTTCTTGTAGATTCCCTTCTCAAACCCTTCGTTAAGATGGCTTAATACTTCTAGGTGAAAATAAAAAGCAGAAGACTCTTTGCCCCCGCATAATGAATTTCGTTGACACTTTGTTTTTCATACCTTTACAATATGTGAATATAATTGTCAGAGCTAGATTTTTTCTTCGAGAAGATTTTTCGATCCTTGGCTAGGGTGTAATGTCGTCGCATATGGATGGCTGTAGCAATCTCGCTATATTCTTTTAAAGTTAGCGTCGCTGGGAAGGTCACTGAAGCTTCCGTCTACGAAACGTTCCACGTCGTGCAACTTTTTTATGACTTCAGTCCGAGATTCTCATGATAACGAAACCTGGTCAAGGACTGTCACATTCCATTCGGGGACGAAACGCTCACACCCAACGTGTCTGGATGGATTGGTTTCAGCCTTAGAATGCAAGTGTTGTTGAGCGACGAAAGTTGATCAGAAAGCTAGGAGATCGTGCCCTAATTGCGCTATCATTTCAAATTTGTTTTACGTTTATATATTTTGCCCTCGGTTCATCACCATCGGTTTTCCTACAGCTCTCTTTCTGGCGAGTTCACCATCTGTTAGCCAGATTTTGGCAACATTTACAGGCATTTTACAGCCAAGACTACTACTGCCAGGGGCATTTGCAGATGGAAACGGATGACATACAGCAGCTTTCAACTGTTGCTCGAAGTGGGGGCCGAATTTTTGCAAAGGCCATCCATCTTCATCTCTTGCCTGGGGAGAAGTTTCTTGATAGATTGGAATGTGCCCCCTTAACTTTCAGTTGAGAACATTCGGCTTGAATTTGGCAAAGTGTGATTAATTCCGTTTTGAATGTAGTGGAAGAATGCCTGTTTTCATAGCCCCTCCCCCTTCGCGTACAGTGCCATACTAGGGGCCACGAGTGTCATGCAAGTGTAACTAATCCTATTGAGCTGCTCCCCCATAACGTTAATCGTTATTCAAGAAAGCATGGCAATCGTCATTTAGTGCTGGGCTAAGTTAAAGCCACGAGTCAGGATTAGGTGACCATAGAAGGCCTTTCCATCACTAATATTTCCAGGAATGCGCTCAGAGGGGTGATGCCACACTCCTGACTCGAGATTGCGCGCCGTCAAGGCCTCTGGCCTACTACTTACAGCGATGGGTTCGTTTCATCAGCTGGT